TTCTTAAAGTAGAACATCAAGAGAATTCACACATGACACTTCCTTCTTTATTGAAAAAATATCCCCACCATGTTTTAGTTTGTAATTTTATAATATATATACGGTATATAACGGCAGTGTAATAATAATGTGCTGTGTAGAGAATAAGGATTTTTAGAAATGTGTGATCAGAAATTAGTCCTAGAACTGTTTTTAATGGTAATTTTTTATTATTTAAAAAAGGACCATTGAAACCTTCTCTTTTCTCCTTTAGATTCTTGGGAATTCACAGCTTAAGATTGTAAATTTTCTTCGGTAAGGACTAACATTTGGCACCAGGATGATTTTACAGTGTCACTGTTTGCTATTTCACTCAGTGGAAATGAGTATCGGATTACTTCTTTCATTAGTCACATGATCCTACCTAAATTAGTCTTCATATGCATCATATACCATAATGTTTATATTGTCTTCTGTCTGTACTGAGCTTTTAAAATGCAAACACAGCAAGGAATCTTGTGACATCTTAAAGTCTTAGGATCATGGGATTTCTTGTTAGTTCTTTATTAGTCACTGACCAGAAATGTCTTCAAAAGACTAATATACTACTATTCTGAAAAATGTAAAGTTATTATGTACTCCCCCTTAATTTTTATCCAAAAACCAGAAGACCATCTTAATATAATCACTTAGAGAACCTGGATTTTGTTACTTGCCTTTGTTCCAGTAAAGTTCCTCATGTTTCTTTCCTTATCATATTACAAAGGGAGTAGCAACCATTTTCCAAGCAATGATGAAATGAAAATTACTCGTATTTTCTAATTTATGAAGAGGTGTAGGGCAACTGTTTTCTGTGTACCACCAGCAGAAGTGGAAAACATTTTTCTGTCGAGGGCTGGCTGGCTGGGTTCCCTCAGGGACAATGTGTTGAAAGGGACTTGCTGGTGGTAATAGGCTAGGCCAGGAACAAAAGGGAATGAGCCACCGCTATTTTTCCCTGTCTCCTCCAAATCCTGCCTAGTAATTTGCCAAAATCACTTTTACTAGTCAACATATAACATGAGTGAAGGCTGTAACCAAATCTACCTTGCATTATAAATATAGGGCAGGCAGGAAAGTTTAGGGGTCTGGACAACCTGTGGCCCAAAGACTGTATGTGGCTACCATTTTGTGTGTGTGTGCGCGCGCAAATTTATTATGTCACAGATTATACCATTAAATACACCTAAAGTTGAACATCACCCCCAAAATGCCACTCCCATTTAACTGCATAAGACTGGCCTATCCGCTCTGCTATCATTCACTCTGCCCGGTGCAGCCTTCATGAAAAAAAAAAAAAAAGGTGCAACCAAGCCAAACAATTGCTCCACCCTGTTTTAGTGGGTAAAGGGGAGGTGTGTGTGTGTGTGTGTGTGTGTGTGTGTGTGAGAGAGAGAGAGAGAGAGAGAGAGAGAGAGAGAGAGAGAGAGAG